CATGTTGATTGGGCTCCACTGGACAATACTCAAATATAGTGAGTAGTTACTAAAATTCTCAAAAATAATGAATCCTATCCTATCTATTTTGACGTTTCAAAAGTACCTATTTATGGTTTAGTTGGAATAAATGGTTTTGACTTTGACTTTGATAAAATTGTATCTACATGTGTTAAAAAGAAATTTTAAGGTTATGTTTGGTTTTGACTCAAATGTATATTTGTTAAATGACATTTTGAAGTATAATACTTACATTTTACGAACAGATCCAGCAGCCAACCGTAGACATCCGCGCCAGTGATATGAGTTACCCCACTCAAACAAATGAATGAAAATAAATAAAAACTAAATATTCGCATTTTGACTATTGGATATATTAACTCTTTTGAAAATTTAATAGATCCCAATAATGTGAAAGACTGAATGTGAACTGAATGGCAAGTGTTTGAATTAGAAGTTGTTGTCCAATATGTAAACAGGAGAGAATTTCGCTTTATATAAAGCAGAAATCCATAAAACTTTTACTTTTGTGCGTTAGTTTTGAAAATACTTTTTCCTGCTATACTACATATTTGTGTGTTGTATTCCATTTTTAGTAAACGAGCCAATTTTAGTAATTATCCAATATCTAGGTAAGTTTATAACGTAAGAGGTCAAAGGTAAATAATTATGGAACTTGTACAGGCTGAAATCGAATAAATGCGACAAAATGAAATGGGAGTTTCAGTTCCAGTAACATAGTAATTACAAACTGTTTTTCCTACAATGTAAGACCATACATAAAATGACGTGATTTTGGTTTTAAAATGATCCACTGACGTTATCTTTATTTAAGTACGAATTATCAGTATTCCAGAAAAATAATTAATATGCAAAATAAACAAGAAAAATTAAAATATCAAGAAATCTCGTCCGACATAACGCAGTGCAGCATATTAATAAGCGTTATCGTTCACAGCGATCATTTACCTCACCAAAAGTGTGGGAGAGCCAAGCTTCGGCACGAATGGGTCGGCTCAACCGGAGTGATACCAGGGCCTCACAGAATACCAGCGTGAAACAACCACAGCGTTGTGTTTCGCCGTGCGGGTGAGGTTACCGAAGGCCCAATCCCGCTCCTTCCCCTATCCCTTCCCGATCCTTATATCCACAACCCCATCCCCAAAAGGCCGGCAACACACTCATAGCTCCTTTGGTGTTGCGGGTGTTCATGGGCAACGCTGATTGCTTACCATCAGGTATTCTATTTGCTCGTTTGCCGACTTATAACAAAAAAAAACCGTGACACTAATAAAAGTTTCTTAATTTAACATTTGATATGTTCTAAATTTTCTTGAGAACACGTGTTTGTTTGTTGAAATTTGTCGCATCTATTCAATTTCACCCTGTATTTACATGTAAAGAAATACTCGGTTCCACCAGTTATGTTTCGAGTCCCATGTAATAAGGTGGATTGATGGGTAGAAAAGAGTTAACCCATAGACATATACTGGGAAAAATTCCAGACTCCATGTTAGAAGTTAAAATTTTTCTGTAGAAAGGTCATGTTATGTTAATCATCGAATCAAATCATCTGCAAACTGTCACAAAAAAGTAATGGCTTGTGTAATGGCTTGGTGTTTTTTTTTATATATATAAACATTCTGTTCTGCTCATACTTAAAAATCTATATGATCCGACATCGTTTTAGTCATTGTACTTTCGACGACTCGATCAAAAAGGCTATCCTTTATTATTCCTTTTACAAATATTTTTATATGAAATGTTGTTCAATATTTATTTAAGGTATTCATATAATGACTAAAGTTAGGAATTATTAGTAAATAAAAATAGGTTAAGGATAACGACAAAGAAAATATAATTATCGTGAGACTAAATGAATTGAAAACTAGCGGTTTGGGTAACTGCTGTAAATGCAAACGCAAGAAAGACACGGTGAGCAAAATAAAATTATGACCAGGTGAATTTCCAGACTCTGATACTAAAATTGACGACGCAGTCATTACCGGTAGGCTGAACAGAATGTCTTTCTGTGGATATTTTAAAGCTGGTAATGATAAAAATATTTAAATGTAACTAATATTCGACTAAAAACTCAATTTGCGGACAACTACTCTGTCTTTCTGCTCGAACTTGAAATCGTTTCAAACGCTCGACACTCGACTTTCTTTCGTGTAACTGAGAGGTCCAACACTTTGGGAACGCTCCATCCTTGATTCTTAAGCGTGTAGCTCAGCCAACCCGAAACTGTGGCTGAACATCGGCCCTGTAGGGCCCTGTCTGTGGTGGTCTATTGCCTCTTTGAGCTTCGAGCTTACGGTGGCTGGAGATCATCCTTCGATCCCAAACGCCCGTTGTCTGCACCATGGCCTCGAATAAGGTCAGATGCGGCAGGTCGCCGCTGCCGATCACTTCCCTAAGGACACGACGGTGCTCAGTCTAAGTAAAACAAAACAGCACTGTAAGCTCCTCCGTGTTTTCTGGGTGGTCCTTACAAAGACAATACTCGAGCGTTTCCTCCCACCAGAGCCAAAAAGGAATCTACGCCAAATCAAATCCAAAAAGGTAAGCAGCGTCACACACAAGGTGAGGACGCCATGGCGTCTCTTTAAGTCACTCGTTAAAGAGGGGTCTTACCGCTGCTATAAGAGCATGTCCAGCCCTTTGTTGCTGTAGAGGATGAAGCATATGGCCATGACCCTCTGGTACGCAACCAGTGTACAGGCTGGCTGCCGCTTTAAATCCGGTGTCCGTATAGGGTCCCCGTAGGTAGGGCCAGGAATCGCAAGATTCCCAAATACAACAACCGGCAGGAGGCGTTCGGCCTTCCTCCCCTCAGGGTGGGTAGGAGCCGCTTGGCGTTGACCTAGTCTGTTCCAACTTGGGAGCCAAACGTTGAAAGTGCTCCGCGAAGAATTACCGACTTTTGAAGTAGAGGCCCAGCTTTCATAGCTGACTCAACACAGTCTGCTAGAATAATACTTAAAGTAAATGCTTATGATTCCAATTTATTTATGTATTTATTTATTTATTATGATAAAGTATCTCACAGCTTATGTATACAAAGTAATTAGAAGTATTCGTTATATGTAGTTGGTATTATACAAAAACCATTTACGAGCTAACCATCATTCTTAAAATTATGCTTTTGTACAGACAAAATTTATATAGAAATGGACAATTTATCGTTTAAGGATAAAAATAGCCATCAAAGTGGTAGTGGCTTAGAAGTTTAGGTTCCTGCTTCCCGAGTATGACGGGGTGGGCTCTAAATATGACTAATAATTCCGAGTTATATCTACATTCATATATTATTTGTAGGCCACCGGAATACGTTGAAGAAAAACATCGTGGGGAAACGTGGCCTTATAATTTCTAATTATAGTTTGAAATTGCTAATCTGTCTTGATCAAACGTGTTAATAAATACTCAAACCTTATCTGTGTTAGAAAACACAACAAAGAAAGATAATGATCATTCATGATAAGATAAAAATACAGGTCTAAAAAACTCGGATAGAATTCGAATGGTGTTTTTATGTTATAGGACGGCAAATGAGCAGACGGATTACCTGATGGTAAGTAATCGGCGCAGCCCATGGACACCGGCAACACCAGAGGAATTACAAATGCGTTGCTGGCCTTTTGGAGATTAGGGGTTTGGAGATTTAGGGATTGGGGTAGCGGAAGGATTGGGCCTCCGGTAACCTCAGTCACACGGCGAAACACAACGCTGTGGTGGTTTCACGACGGTTTTCTGTGAGACCGTGGTATCACTCCGGTCGAGCCGACCCATTCGTGCCGAAGCATGGCTCTCCCACACTTAGTTTCGGATAATAATTGGAATAAGGCGTAGTGAAGAAGAAATCTTATTCTCATGATTGTATATTTTATTATATTTTAACAAAATTGTTTATTCAACAAAATTTTAATAATTTAAAAAGCATTTATTAAAAAATTGTACACTTGACAAACAATATTTTAAACTCATATTACGAGTGTCTACAGCTTGATTCAAAGATTGACTGTAAGAGATCGCCTTATGCGATAAGACCGCCTATTACACACTGAATGCTTGTAAGTTATCCTATATAACTATGTGGTGTATATAACAAATGAATAAATAAATACATCGAATAAATTACCATGAAAGGTAACTTTTTTTCCTCAACAATGGACATGGCAAAGCTTATAAAGGAGTTATAGGTTACTCAATGTAGGTAAGCTATTTAGTATAATTTTTACAGTTGTTGGATGGTTACAATGTCCATTTTCCTGTTTTGTTTTTACAATAATACTGTGGAGTCTAGACGTGAGGCCTGTGTGAGGTAATATACAGTCAGTCAGTCAGTTTCAGTCTCTATAATATTGTACCTCTATCAATACCTAAAAAGAGGTAAGTTTATTTTTAATTTTGTTTTGAAAATAACTCAAAGTAAAGAACAAAATATATTAACTAAATTTAATAAAACAAAAATAAATAATATAATGCATCTTTTTTTACACATTTTTAATGATTTTGAACTTGAACGTTGGTTTGTAAATAATTTATTTATAAGTTCTGTTTTTATGTTTTGGTGTTTATTTACAAAAAAAGTTTCCTCACACTAGGATGTTCTCCTGGGTCGTAGGTGCATTTACAAACATACAATATCACATACACATCTCACCCAGACCTGTAAAAACAATTTGTGGATCACACAAAGAATTGTTCCGTGCGGGAATCGAACCCGTGACACGTTGCACGGCATCCAGTTGCCTAGCTACCACTCGAACCGTGCAATTCAATAATAGTGCCGTCTGTGTTTCTATGTTATTGACCGAAAATTGTTATAAGTATTTTTATATAAATATAACCACTATTTAATTTTAAAAAAATTACTGTCTTTCGAATGAATTGTCTTGTTAGCTTAATAATTTATTAAACAATTAATATTGTACATGTGAATGGTTAGATAATTGCATTGGTATGGAAAATCATGTATGACTTTGGTTCAGTACAGCTATGTTAAAAATTAACTAACTAAAATCGTAACCTTCAGTGGAGAAGTAATATACACCAGTCGCATTACCAGGATTCCAGAATCCAGCTACAGCTTTATCATTTAGCGAACACATACCGCCTTTAAAATATTTGTATTTGTCACATTTATACGCCGTATATCCTTCAGGATTCTTTACTGATGCCGTCCACATTGTAACACAAGTCTTATGATTACATTTAGCGGAAAATGAGGAGTCTATTATGCCTGGTATCAAGGCAGTCCCACAGTTTGGTTGAGATGCCCCTTTATTCACGAAGAAATCCACGTCACCTAGTACGCTGGTCGTACCCAACCCACCAGCGTTACAATGGTATACTTCTACATAATCTGCCACACCAGCCCTGATTTGCTCCTGAATGAAACTGTTCGAAAAACAAGGGCCAGCTGGGTCTAACGCTGTTATCCTTGCAATCTTTTCACCTGTAGTTTCAAAGAAGATTTCACCAACATGGGCCAACATTTGGCTGCCAAGGCTATGGCCAATGCAGTGAATAGTTTTAGGTGAAATTCCTCCTCCGTGAAGACCCACCAACATTTGAGCCAATTGTTTACCTATGTAGTAGACGTATTTTACTGAGCGTTCGTAGCTCTTCTTTTTGCCTTGTCTGTCGTTGGTGTAGGCTGAATGATCGATAATGATCAGATAGCTGTTGGGGAAATCTTTAAAGGCGTTTCTTACTCGTTCTTCTGTATTCTTGTTGATGTGTGATTTGAAGCCACCGACGAACATAAAGAATTTCTTCACTTTGTCCAGGTCTTTTAAGGCTAGGATTCCTTGGGCAGCTTCGTTGATGGGAAAAGTTTCAGTGATGCCATTTTGAAAGTCGTAGAAGTATACGTCAATGCCACTGACATCGAGATCTAGGTCTCTCCTGTGCTCACCTATAAATAGAAATAATGGTTATGTTAGTATACGTCATCATCACTAAAAATCTACTTGAATAGGGCTTTCTTTACAGAAAAAAGTGTTGTGGTCGGGGTAGGTCAGGTCCGCACAAAAGTGCTTTGTTACTTAATAAAACTTTCATGAAATCTTAACATCCTTAAAAACCAACGAATACTGTAAATTTAAACAAGGAACCATATTTATATTCTAATGCCTCAAACGATAAATATATTGGCCAATCACAGGCCGGCCATTTAAGCATTGGCGTTTGAAAGGAATGTTAGTTGGTGAGTATTGTAATGACAAACCAGCACGGGCTTCCAAGGAGTTTGGATATATTATTAATTATCCTCTATAGCGTGCTATTGTCTCGATGCTTAGCAAGCGTTTTTGGAGATTACGGAGCGCAGTCACTCGGCTCAGGAACGTATTTTTGAAAATGACTTATTGAATAATAAAAGGAATGATATAATTATATAAAATAAACATAATAACAAAATAATGATATATCCTCAAAAATAAATTAAAGTATGACTTATTTTTATTTAGCACCTTTTTTTCTTTTCTTTTTTAAAAAAAGCGTTGCAACACAAGGATTTCATTACAATTTCACATACACAGGCACAAGGTTTTGGCATCTTTTATTGGATTGCAATAATAAATTATAATAAAACCATTATTGGAATTATTTAATAAAAAATTGAATTTAAATTAAAAAATTGAAATTTAAATTTAAAAAAAGAATACTAATAAATTAATTAAGTATTGCAATTCATTTTTTTTAAATAATATATGATTTTTATTTTATCTACCCAATTGATCAAATTGTTATTTAACACGTTAACCGCCGCGTAGGTCACCGGTGACCTACGGTAGCGGAGGATTTGCCTTCAATAGTTTTCGGTCGGCAGTCAAAGGCTTAACTAACGGTCTGCCTCTAGGGCTCACCTATACATATACATACAGTATAGCACCGTATTATAATACTCGTAACACAACATTATTGTGTACAAACATAAAAACGGACTGTCACGGTTCGAGGTTTAAGTTACCATTTTTATTAAAATCTGATTACAAAGCCAGTTGCTACTCGTAAAATATTTGCTTCGCTATTTATGTTGATCATTAATAGTTAAAAATGTTTGTTTTATTTAAGTTATTTCATAATTAGCAGTTTTTGTTATAAATTATGTTAATTTATTATTGTTTTTTCGATAGTAGCAACACCAACATGGAATTCTCAAAACACTTAATGTGTTTCTTCAGAAAAAATCATGTTGGTACCTATGAAGTGCTCAATAAATTTCTTTTATCATAGAAAAAGTAACTAATAATAAATACTAGGTACCCATACAATTTTAACCAAGATTATTAATACATAGAATAAAATAAATTCGCATCATACTGTCTGTTACTATGTTTGATCTGAACTACGTGACAAACCTACATATATTGATGCGGTTTTTTATTAAATATACTTAATCATTCAAAAAGAAGGTTTTGGTATATAATTTAAAGGCTCGCGCACGTAGTCGTGGGTAGCAAGTAGGTAAGTTAGTTTATATAAAAATACACGCGCTAAAAATAATGATAGTGATGTCGAAAAATAATAATTTATTAATTGTCTAACAATGTAAACAAATTGACAATATCAGATTCAACCATGTGGTATTTTTTTAAAAACAAAACACGATCGTATACTTATTCAATAAACATATTCGTTAACATAAACAAAGAAATACAATACTCACATTTAACCATCTTTAACGCGAAGCTGAGAGGTCCATATTTCTCCAAGGCCGCACTGGTAAAACCAAAACTCATTAAAAATAAACACAATAAAGGAAATTTCATTTTAATTTGTATATTTTGAGACATTACACTACACAATAAGCGTTATCATATGTTTCGACTCTTTTACTGGCAATGATGTAGGACACAGTATACAGTATGACCTCATAAATTTGACTCAGCTTATTACTGGTTATACAAAAATTACAGGTTATTTAAAAATTTGTTTGTCGTTGTTGCCAGTTTGAAGGACAGAACACGACTAGAATTAAAATCTTAAAGACGAGTCGACAGCTGTTTGCATAAACTGTGACGGTTTTAGTTGTACATAGAAGTAGAACAAAAACGTCACCACTTTCAAAAGTCACGAACGTTGGTTTTGTAATACGGAATATGTTTTGCGTTGAATATTTGTTTTATGTATTGATTGTGATTTTATTGTTGCGTAAGCAAATGGGACGTTACATTGAACTTTTATCGAATGAATGTGTTTCGTGTTTGGATTATGTAACATTTGTTTAGCGTTTGTTTTTGTGTATAGACGAGACAACTTTCTTTTACAAGGGCAGCGGTGATAGAATTGAATTACTGCTTCGTTATTGTCTGTGTGAGTTTGATGTGGGTGCTCTGTAAGGTGACGAACTAAATCGGTAGCAAAGAACTCGAAGGTGAAGATCGAGCTCAGTGGTATGCTATTGAAAAAACCTCTGTATATACTATAAAATAAGCAGGTTGATTAAATTAATGTATAAAAAATATTATAGCGGAATTCTATAATCAAATTCAGAAAAATATGATGTTTTATTTTTTTCTTATAACGCAACAAAATAAAAACTTAACACTATCCTCATTAACTATCCTACATCATTGGTAGTTCTCATTCACTAGCGAATCAGAGTTATTTACGTTGAAGCGTCGACCAATCACTGATAAGTTCTTATCTAGCTAACGAGCAGTAATGTCTATATAAATTGCCGCTGAGATAAATGACCTAGACACTGAATGAAGCACTTGATTATGAGTGAAAGGAAATACCAGGTTTTAATTGAATTCAGAATAGGCTTTTGTTAGTATTTGCAGTATAAGGGATAACGTACAAATGACCTCTTTTACAAGATTTTTTTTTATGGAATAGGAGGCCATCGTGCACGGAATCACTTGATGGTAAATGATCGGCGCCGCCCATGGACTCCTATGACATCAGAGGAGTCACAGGCGCGTTGCCGGCCCTTTGGAAAAGGAGTATGCACGATTCTTGACGGTATGAAGGTCGTATCTGTTCGTTGAACGCCGCCGAAAGATCAATCCAAAGTTTTTCTGATTACCAAATTATTCAATTTTATATTATTTTGTTTTATTTCGTGTGTATAATAATAACATGGTTAAAATACTTACAAATTGTATAATATCGATAATACAAGAGGAAACATTGTGTTATGGAAGTTTGAAAAAACTTGAAGGTTCCATAAATCGCCTGCTCACAACATCACAGCTTGCTCTGTACTAACTTTCAGTGTCACAGGCTTACTTCATCAAACTCCAAGTGAACGCCAGCTTTCGCGCACCTATTATTACCACGATTCAAATGCTAAATCGTGATACCCAACATGATAAATTTTGAAACACAACCTCAGCAGTTTTCCAAAGTTTATTAAAAAACAAACATAGCTTAAACGGACACTTTTGTAACGTCAACCATGAATTTGGACATCACTCAGTTCGCTGTTGTTTATAGGAAAAATTGAGCGTTGCACTAGGATTTTCCCGTATATCATGGGTGCGTTCACTAGACCATATTTCACATACAAAACACAGAACATAAAACAACATATACACAACTAGTTTGTCAAGCTAACTGCTCTTTCTAAACTGTAAACTATTCGTGGCTATATACATCAATCAAGCCGCCATTTTACATATCCATTCAATTTGTAATTGGTTCAAAATAAATATTCAATCATTCTAAATATTATTATATTAAACAATGTTATGTTCAGTTGAACAGATATGAGTCAGCGGGAAAAATATCTCAAACTAATTTCCGTTGTACTGTTTCCTTAATAGCTTATAATCAATGTGTGTTTTTGTGTAATAAATTAAAATGACACATAAAGTGACCAAATTGAGGAAAACCCTACTTGTTTCAAATGCAACGGGACTTACACTTGTAAGCAGCGTGTGCGTCGCGGTGATGTCAAGCATCCGAATCTGTCAACGGTAGTTATTACTTTTAGGGCTGATTTTTCAATGTAAAAATTATGGTGCTGTCGCGACAGAATGTTTGTATAAGACAGTGACAGCAATAATTTTATTCCTCGGATAAAATTTATCTGACTTCTGAAATATCAGCCCTTCCGGGGTTGCGGACTAAGCGCAATTAGGCACCGCGACCTCGGACCAGAGCAGGAGAAGGAACAGGGGGGTTCTTAGTCAGTAAGAGTCTGACACTAAGGGAGGGAGAAGTCATTTGATGATTTTCCCCTCACAAAAAAGCCCTTACTGTTCTTTTGTAACCGACTTCAAAAAGACGGAGGTTCTCAATTCGCCAGAATCTTCTTTATGCAAGTATAAATAAATAAACGTGACAATGTTTTAAATGATTCGGAAAAAAACTACATTAATGAATGTGGTAAAAATACAAAGTTTTTTATGTATCATCAAGACGTTGTTTAAATCCATTAGACTGGTATTTCTAACTCTTTCTTGCAAAAACTATACAACGTATCTAGACGAAATTTGGAACAGAGACAAATATTTTATTCTAGAGTAGTATATTAGGTAAAGGTACTTGTTATATCGGGACAAAGGCGACGCCGGTAGTAGAAGTAATATAATTTTAATGATAAGAATAGGTGCTGTTCTTCGTAGGGATCTGTCGCCACACTGCTTGCAGAAAGTCAGTTCCGGTCAAAAAGTCAAAAAGGACAAAAAACATTTATTCCAATTGGACCATTACAGGCACTTTTGAACGTCAAAGAAAATTTTGAAGATATAGTGTAAGTCTGTCGGTCAGTCCTCTTAGTGAAGCTATTTGCCGGTCGTGGTCTATTTAGAAAAACCCAGTACTTACGTGCCGATATGGTTACCACTGGGATGATTGTAGTAAAGTAAGTATCCTTAATCTTCTCTAAAAAGTATAGTTCCCTTTGACTAACACCAAAAAAAGGGATGTTCTAGAGCTTCAGATTTTTTTTTTATTTGTTGTTTTTGTTAAGGATGCTTGTCATCTACTTTAAGGTATTTATAGATGAATATATTAATCTTAAAGTACCATATACTCAGCTGAGGTGGCTTCAACATAACAACGTTCCATCCGAGCCGGTGGAGAGCTCTTCACGGGACGAGGCCATCACTACTCGGATAGTGATGTAGCTAAAACTATCGAATTATGGAATTTCGATATAATGCAAAAATACAAGTTAGATAATAGCTTTTCTACAATATTTTTAAAATAATCATTTTTTGGACACTGTCGCATCACATTTGCATGTTTCTTGTAGGAGTAACCAGTAAAATTCTATTTTTATTTAAATTATAGATTGCCTAGAATTAATGGCGTAGATTTTTGTAGGTACACTGGGTATTAATGCGAATGCCAAGGAATAGGTTCGACTTCAGGTTCGGGAACAGCATTGTTTTTTTTTTGTTTTTCTAAAATTTTACAATGTCAGCACTGAGTGACAGAAACGCACACGCTTTTCACCCAAAACTGTGTGCATGCTCCACCTACTATATTGGACACTAGCTACTCCCGCGCAGTTTCACTCGCTGCTCGGCTCCATTTGATTGTAGCGTGATATTTTATAGCCAATAGCACTCGGGAACATTGTAGCTAGGTATCAATATAAAAAAAAAAATTGGGAATCCGACCAGCGGTTCCAAAGATTACCCCCTCGATACAAACTTACAAACATACAAACAAATTTTACCTCTTTATAATATTAGTATAGATAAAAAGGCGTGACTGTTCTTACACTTCATATACAAGTTTTTGAGTAAAACACTTCGAAAGATATCCATTGTTAACACCTCGATAAGAGTTACAAAGGAAGCGATGTAATTTCCGACTCGATACATATCGATACCTACATAACCCACCGCATCCCTAAACACAAAATGATGAGCATCACAGCGTTGTGATCGCCGCGTGCCGTTGGCTTGCATCCAAAACGTACGAGCTAAGCAAGCAATGGAAGAGTAATTCGTGAGAGTAAGGTTCCGTCGACGAAGTTTTTAATGAGTATCTAGTTACCTTATCATTTTGTTCGATAAGGGTAATATTATGTAATATCTCTTCTTGTAGATTGGTAATACGAGGTCTGTTCTTCCTTATGCAAGTTGAAGTCTTGAAGGGTTATGTTTGTAAAGAGAGTTCGTCTCAGTTTGTGTGCTTTTCAGTTGTTGTGTAATCTGATGAAATTAAATAGAACTATACTATGTAGTACCTATACGTCTAGTAAGTTAGTTAGCTACATACAGTAATTATATTTATTTCTCATTTTACCTATACTAATTTTTAAGGGTTTCAAGCTAAATATTTGAATGAGATTTTATTTACAATTGAATATTCAATACATGTTGATAACAATTACATTTGTTTATCATATGGTTAAAATTTTAATTAAATAAAAAAATAAAAGTTATCATAATTTACATCTTTTTTTATTGAGCTAAGATGAACTTAAAATGAAGTAAAGTAATGAGTGGCCTTTTAAGTCAGCTAAACTTTTGGACCACCAGTCAGGGTTGTGAGCAAAGCGCAATGGTGTACCGCGCCCGGCTCAGAGCTGGCGATGGTTCCAGGGCACGGGTTTTCAGTCAGATCCTCTACTCAGTGCGAGTGAATAAATTGTTTTTTTTTCTAGGATGGCATCTGACCGACCTTATTTTTGTTATCAAGTGGCGATGGCAATTAATCTTTAAGGAAGCACCTTCGTGTGTAAATTTTAACTATAACGTTTATAGTTAAAATTACCGTCAGTCTGTAGTAGTCTCAGTATATACCTACGTCAGTCGTCAGTGAAGATGAAGTTGCTCGTTCCAAAATGTGTAACATAAAAACCGACCAGTAGCGTTTCGGGCTACGCTCAGTGTAGGGTTTTAAAATATTATTTCACTTTTTATATTACTACTTTGGCGTTATTGATATACATATTGGTGCCAAATTTGAACTTTCTAGTGCTAACGGTCACTGAGATTATCCTAGGACAGACAGAAAGATAGATGATAGATATACGAGTAGTTTA